TTTGGATGCTCACCTTTATAGACCTGGATGGAGTGGGGAGGACCTTGGACTTCCCATGGGGCAGGGAACCCTGACTTCTCTTAAGGCTAGAGAGAGAGGGGGAGGTGGAGAGGGGGAGGGAAAATGGAAGCAGGGAGGAGGTGAAAATTTTTAATAAATAAAAATAAATAAATAAATAAATGCAACGTTGTCAATTTCTAACTTAAAGTTATATGACTTATTGCATAGCACATGAAATAAAGTATATTGTGGAATTTTCAGCTCCGTTCTGGAAGTTACTGTAAAGATACTTTCTACTTTTACATGTGAGTCCATCCTTACTACCTCCCTTTAGGCAGTAAATCACTTTACAAAGAAAGAAGAAAATTGCCTTTCAAATCCACTCAGAAACACACCACACACACACACACACCTGGCTTTCCTAATTACTGGGATTAAAGGTGTGCAGCACCATGTCTGACTAGAAATTTATAGGTGGTTTTTAAACACAAAGCAAAGAAAGCCAGCGTACAAACCACAATCCCAGAGAACTTAGACAACAATGAGGACACTAAGAGAGACTTACATAGATCTCTCTATGTAAGTAGAAAAAGACAAGATCTCCTGAGTAAATTGGGAGCATGAGGACCTTGGGGGAGGGTTAAGGGGGGAAGGGGAGAGGCAGGGAGTGGAACATAGAAAAATGTAGAGCTCAATAAAAATCAGTAAAATAGTATAATTGGAACAAAAAAGAAATTTATTATTTATAGAAATTCTCTCCTTTAATCTAGATTGTGATGTACTGGTATTGTTTCCCTTGTTCTGTGATCTTTGAGTTTTTGGTAGAGTACATCTACAAGCAAAGAATGCCCTGTGGTTCTAGTTTTTGAGGATGTTCTCATTTCTCCTTTATATTTTTTTTCAGATTTCATACCTTTGGCCTTTTTTTGAAAGATCTATAGCTCTCTATTTCAGTCTATACTTAAATACTAAAGTAATATTTATAGTCATGATAATTATTCTGAAGCTAAACCGAGTTTCCTCTGGCAAAGCATATTTTAAATAGGTGCAAAATTTCTCATTAAGTCGAAACATAACTCACAATCTGAGCAGAAGTGCTCACATTTAAACCCAGCACAATGGTAAAAGAAACATTTAGTATTAAAGTCACTTTTTCAAACAAATTTAACATTTCAGTAGGTGGTGGGTTGTAACTTGTTTTAAAAGGAAAGAGTACACATCTTTCATTTTCTTGTGATGTCTTGACAGAATTAATTAGTGAAGTACAAAATATTGTGACATAAACCAAACTCTATTCATAGAAACCATTTGCTAGAGACTCATATATAAATATGACCCAGTCTGAAAATAATGAGAGAAAACAGCTCACTGTGGAGCAGGAGGCAATTTTTAAATAATTCTTTTAAAAATGATTGATTTATTTATGTGATTATGTACCTGTGTTGGTATATGCCAGGCAGATGCCAATGCCTGCAGAAGCCAGAAAAGGAAGGAGTCAGGTTCCCTGAGCTGGAGCTGTGGTGAGCAGGTGGTTGTGAGCACTAGATGTGGGTGCTGGGAACTGAATGCCAGTCTCTTGGAAGAGCAGCGAGTGCTCTTGACCACCGACTATCTCTCCAGCCCCAGAATGCCATTGTGACTACTTCATTGAAACCATTGTTTATGTTGCTTACTGGAGACTGTCTTTTCTACTAGATAAACAGCTCTAATTGTATAATGCTAGAACATGAGAGCAAATTGAATAAGGAATGGGTTATTTTTTATAATCTCTTATTATAATGTCATCTAACTGTACTGGTCAGGTATGGAAAGACTTCATTTTTCCTCTTTGAAGAAATTGACTTATATTGTTGCAGTTATTGTTTGAGACAGGCATTCACTATATAGTCCAGGCTGCTTTGGAATTCACTGGGTAGCCCAGGATGGGCTCATTCTCGTAGCCATTCTCATTCCTCTATCTTCCAAGTTCTGGGATTACATGTGTGCGTCACTCCATTCAGCTTACAGATCAACCCTCCCCCTCCCCTGCTCCCCTCTTCCCTCTGTGTGTGTATCCCCAATCTGCTTCGTGCTTCTGGCTTAAAATACAAAGTCAGATGAAGAAATGTTAGTGACTTTGAACTTGGTCATTCTGCTGTGCTTCACCTTCCCATAATATTTCTGGATCCTTCACCAATGCTCCACGAGGAAAAAAAAAACAAAAGCAAAACAAATGAAAAACTGAAATCAGAATCACTAAATTGCATCAAGGAGGGAAAGACATTAAAATCTAGATCCATGAGCAAGAGGACAGCAAGGAAAACGTGAAAAGAAATAGATTACTAGAAAACTGTACCGAGACTCTTATATCAGCAGATCTGCTCCTGCAGGAGTGGAATAACAGGTCTTTGTCCTGCTAGGGTGATAGAAATGCACGTTCTTTCTTGAGTGCTGTGGAAAGGCAAACGTGTAATTCTAATCAGTTGCTATGGAGTGAGCCAGGAACACATTTGTGTTCCCGGATTCTGGAGGTGGTGTACACTGTAATTCTGACTGGGATAGTGGGCACTCTAGAAAAAAATGAGCACAGAAGGACAAGACAAAGGTGAATGCAGCTTCTCTTGTATCTTAGTAATATTTACACAAAGTCAAATTTCAGAGCAGTCACTCTGCTTTGATGAGGCTTTGCTTCAGCTCCTAATCTCACTTGCTTGTGAGAATGCACTCCTGTAAGAATACTTAGAAGTGTTTTCTTAAACAGCAAACCTATTTGTAGTGATGGAGACGCTCTTCGTAGTGTGTGTTTGGGATTGATAACTAATCGCTGTCTTTGGAGCAAGTCCTAGCCATTCCTTGCATCCCCTCTGTATGCACGTGACTGTTTCTCTGTTTTCAGATGCAGGACTCCATATTGCTATCTTTTCACCATTAGCTCTGGCATTAGCAAGAGCTCCACATACATCACCGCTGCAGCTATCTGAAGATTTTCCAATAAGGCACAGCACAGTGTAGCCAAAAGTGATCAAGCTCACTTCGTCTCTGTGTTTGTTTCTCATCTTCACATATAGGCTCCATATTATCCTGAAAAAGTGATTAGTCACAGTCAGACATTTAATTACTAGACACCAGATAAGATTGTATAGAGTCACAAAGTCTTCCACAGTATCAGACTTAGAGATCAGTTGAGGGTTTGCTTGCTGAGGTTTCCTTTTTTACCACTTTTAATTTACTTAAATATTTAAAATGATACTCTGGCTTAACAATTTCCCTATTAGACTCTATTCTTTTCTCTTCAGTAGGTGGGGAATTAGAAGCAGGGGTGGTTTCTGGTTTCACAGTTACCTTAGAGCTTTCTTTCTCAATTTCTTTTTGTTTTAATTCTCTTTATTTTTATCTTTATATCATTTATAAATATGTTCAAAATCCCAAAATTGCCTATCTTGAAACTATTATATCCTGAGCCTTTTCTAGTTTATAACTTAAAAATATTAAAATGTAAAACTCCTGACATATATGTTATGTTACATATACTATATATCTATGCATGTTTAAAAACATTCTGAATTATTTATACAAGTTTTCAAGTGAAGTTTTATTATAGGCTAGAAGGAGATATGTGGCCTTGTTCCTCTATAACTCAATACCTATGTCACCTTTTAATGCTGCAGCTTAAAGTGTTTCAAAGTGATTATTTGGTTGAACTCCACAGCCCCTCTCTACCACATTGCCTTTCTTTATGGAAGAATATGCCAAAATTTCAAGTGTGTGGTATATGTCAAGATTTCCTTCCTTTTCTTTAAAATAAATTTGAGATTAAGCTGCTCCATTGCTCTTAATATTCTGACAGCATGGAACTGTAGAGATAGCTCAATGGCTGCTCTTCCAGAGGACCCAGGTTCATTCTCTGCATACATGGTGGCTCACAAGTTGTAATTCTAGCCCCAGTGGATCTAACATCCTCTTCTGGTCTCTGAAAGCACTGTAATATTGTAGTGCACAGATATATGTGCAGGAAAAATGCTCATACATATAAAAATGCAGTTTAAAATATTTTGATAGCATTATGTAAGAATTCTATTGAATATATAAATTAATAAGAAGGCAATTTGTATCTGTAAATTGAATCAATAGTATACTATCTGTGACTATTCTATATTTACTCATCAATACTGACAAAATATCTTTAAACTCTGAAAAGATCTAATGTATTTTTAATTTTATGGAAACTAGAAGAATACAAGTTTTCTTGTTCCTTTCTGTGTATAGTCATATTATCTGTATTTAGATAATAATTTGGTTATAGAAATAATTTCACAACCTCAGGATGTATCAGAATATAGTATTGCATGCCATTGCTACATATATTTTGTCAGTAATACCTCAATAAGGAAAAATAAAAAAAATGAATGTATTATGGAGTTGTACTGAACATCTTCTTTTGACATTTTATTCATAGGTTAATACATTTGTTTATGATCCAGTTTCATCAAATGTAACATTATAAAATAATATACTATCTTCATAATTTTGTCATTCACATTTGTATTTTTGATTTATATGGGTCATATTTAAGTATGGTGTGAAGTAGTGATTCTAGGTCTCTGGTCTTCTGAAGGAATTACTAGGTTGATTTTTGTTCTGAAGTAATTGTCTACGTTGACTTTGGGTCCACACATGCACAGTTTAATTAGTTTTCTGTGTCTGACTTGTTTTGCAAAACATAATGTCCCCCAGATCTATGCATTTTACTACAATGACCTGATTTCATTCTTCTTTATGGGTTAATAATGCTCCTTTCAGTGAAGTTAATCTCCTGAAGGCACAGAGCCAAGTGCAAAACAAAATAGGACCCTAGAAGAAATCACCCCAGGGGGCTGGCAGCAGCCATTAAGAGTTTTCCTTGCAAGGGGAATTTTCTTAAATGATAAGATTTCAGAATGTTGTCTTGTTGCTTTTCGCTGTGTTGTCGTGGTTCTTATTGCCATAATATTGATACCATGATTGTAATTTTATTTTTTAGGTGTGATGGAGCCTGCAGCTTCCTGTTTACTAGGATTCCTTTTGATCTTTCTTCTCTTACAGTTCACAGTACCTGCCAAAGGTAGAGACATCCTCCCCATTTTATTGATTAAATTTGTTCTTTGACAATTTCATACATGCTTGCAAGGCATTCCACTTACTCTCCCCTAATCCTCTCTCATTTCCCTTTCACCCTTATCATTTCTTCTCCTTGTTACTTCTCCTTTTCACATTCGTGCTTTTTGCTATGCTTTGTAACCCACTGATTTTAACCAGGACTGTCTGTGTGACTGCAGGTTTGGGACTATCTGTTGGTATATGGTAGACTCACACAACAGAAGACAATGACTGCCTCTGCCTTAAAATCCACCAGTATTCAGTAGTTTAGTATGGAGGGCTAGGGCCCTGTGAGCACTCTGAATGATAATGATAGGCTCCATCTCACGCAGGTCCAAATGCTGGCTACTTCAGTGGCTGTGAGATTATGTTTGCAATGTCTGTGTCATTCTTGAAGACAGCATTTTATAGCAGTTTTCCCTCTCTCTTTGATCTTACATTGTTTTTCTGCTTCCTCTTCTCCAATGTTCCTGAACCTTTAATTATCATTTATTCTAATTATTTTGAACACCTATGAGTCTCTGCATCCACCTCCCAGTAGCACAGGGAATAAGGCCAACGATAGGCAAATGAAATTTCATGAAATTAAATAGCTTATGCAAGCAAAGGAAACGTCAGTCAAATGAAGAACCTTTACTCCTAACCCTAGGGAGGCAGAGGGAGATGTCTAAGTTGAAAGCCTGCTTGGTATATATCAGAACTTCTAGGTCAATCAGGGATACGTAATGAGACCCTGTCTCAAAAACAAAACAACCAAACAAAACAAAACAACAAAAAGAAGTATATCTGTTACAATAATTGAGTAAAGGAGGCCATGAATTCGAGTGAGAGCAAAGGGATGCATGGGAGGGGTTGGATGGAGGAGAGGGAAGGAGGTAAATTATATAATTATAATTTCAAAATTAATAAAATTATTATTCATAATAATATATTTAATTGAAATAGAATTATAACTTTCTTCTCATTAGCTCCTCTCAGGTACCCTGCCACTAGTTCCTCTTATGTTCTCCCCCACTTCAATTTGATAGCTTCCTCTTCAAACATATATATGTATGCACAAGTGTATAAGTATGATCTGCTGAGAATTTTTGTGTTGTTTGTGCGTATACAGTCTCAAGGCTGACCACTCTGCATTGGACAATCAATAAAGGGCTTCTTTTTCCAGAAATCATTAGTTGCTTGTAGCTCTTTGTTTAGGGTGGAGCCCTTCAAACAATTTCCTCCTCCAACATTAACATGCCTGTTAGTAGTGCCGTTGTTGCAGTCTTGTTTATTCAACCATTTCTAGGAGAGACTGTCTCAGTGCAGGCCTGGCATTCTGGCTCTTAACAATCTTTCCATCCTCTCTTCTGCTATGTTTCCTGAGCAGTAGAATCAGAAGCTCTAATGTAGTTTCTGATGTAGCTTTTGGGTTGGGCTCCCCACAATCTTTTGATCTCTGCCTTGTGTCTAGCTGTAGTTCCAGGTCTGGTCTCCATTTTCTTTAAAGAGGTATTTCTTTGATGAGAGGGTGGTGGTTTCACTTTCATCTGAGGACATAAATAAAAAAATGTCTCATGGAGCTATTGTGAAATGTCATCTTTTCCACAGCTATGAAGTGAATTAACCTCCCAAATGAAGCTAATATAATTTGCTTCTTTTATATAAATTCTTGACATATATGCATAGAAATACACATATATGCACCAAGTGTAATACACACATGTGCATGTATGTACAGAAATGCATGCATGTATGTATTAAAGTACTTACGTACCTATGTATTCTTTTAAATAAAATGAAATGTACTATGTATATATATATATATATATTGAAAATTACTTTTAAAATGTGAGTTTTAAGTAATTTTATATGAATATTTTGCTATTATTTTTATAGTCATAGAGAATCCCACCTTGCAATCACTCAAATCCACTTTACCTGTGTTGTACTGTATGAATCTACTGAATTATTATGCTGTACCATTAAATGATAATGGAAAATATGTTACAGAAACTTATACTACTAAAATAAGATTGGTTTATTTTTTTCAAAATATTTAATATTCAAAGTCAATGCTAGTAATTTAAATTGTTACATATGAAGCTTCACATATATAAGTGAGTATATGTATGAAAATTTTAGTATTGATCTCTTAAGTCATGTGTAACTCTACATCATCCCTTGTTATGTAATTACACTTCACTGAATTGACTGAGCTTTCTAGAGAGTTCTGACACCTCTGTGTATACCTAGAATAGTTCCTTCTACTCTGGTGTGACTCTTACAAGAGCACAACACACACACAGCTTTCCCTTCTGCAGTGATGTTTCTGCACTGGCGGGTGCTAAGCTGCCTGTGTGAAGAGCTCTTCTAGCTCCTACAGGTCTCCCAACTGCTCAGTGGTTTCTTTCCTCTGCTCTTGTATTCACCCGAATATGAGATGGATTGACCCAATGTCATATTTACCTCATGAGCTGAGAGTTCGTCAATCATTACCTTAAATTATTTAAAAGGAACAAAATAATTAATTCCTTTTCCAGATAAGTTAATGTTTTGAAAGAACTTTATTCAGTGGTTCAGTGACGATGTTCAAGATGTGGTGATGTAAATGCCAAAATAGACAATGCAGAGATGCGAACACCTAGTTGAATTTAGTTTTGTCTTGGATTTTCTTTTTAAATCGATACACACACACACACACACACACACACACAAAATATATCACACAGTAAAGTACATTAATTGTGCAACTCAGTGAATTTTTGCTTATAGGGACATTTATGAATCCATTCCTCAGCTCTAGATACTAAGTATTTTCAGCATCCCAAAATGTTGTTGCAATCAAAATGTTGTGATTTTTCTGATCAATACCATCCTCTTCTTGCCAAGTGACTATTGTTTAACTTCCATTGCCAAATATTAATCACAAATATTACTATATTGTTACATTTATAAAAATTTATATAGCAGTCAAAATCATTCATCGCTATTCATTAATTCTTTTGGATTTGTTATCAGCATTAGTATTTGGAGTTATTTGTATTATTTTTATTTGTATTATTTTATTACTTTGAGTTTTGGGCCATTATGAGTAGTGATATCATTAACATTCTTAAAATACATAAACATCTACTAAAAATTTCTGGTTGTGAAAATAGATGTATGTATAACTTTAATAGATACTGACTTTTTTCATATAAAGGGAGTTCTCTGTCTTCTGATCTTTGGCAATGTCAGTCAATCCTTGACCCCCTTCTTCAACACTAATGGGAATCAAGTATGGACCAATGAGGTTTTGCTTGCATTTCCCAGATGGCTGAAAACTTTGAACATCCTTTCATACACTTATTGGTCATTAGGATATCTTTTTAAATTAAATATGTCTTCTACTGTTTTCCCATTTTTAGAAAATAAGCTTGATTTATAGCGCCTGTCACCTATTTAGAATGGGGTTTCTTTCTTAGAAAGAAAAGTATGGATATCTTCCAGTCTATGGCTCTTTCTTTTTGCCCATATTCTTATATACAAAAATTACTAAATTTTATGTAGTTTGACTTTATCAATTTTTCTCTGATTTGTTCTTATTTTTCCTAGCTTTTGCTTATATTGAAGTATTGCTTTTACCCTAATTGTGCCTATTCATATATGGGACACAGGTAGCAGCCCATTGATAATGAGAACTTCCACAAACTTCTCAACCCTTGAATTCACACTACCAATCATAATGCCATCTTTCTCTTCTTCCTAGCAATGAGTTCCGATATACAAATTAGCATTCAAGTTCCAGATGCAGAAAGTGTACTGGTGGAGTGTACTTCAAGAAATTTGATCCCACCTGCTGAGATTACATGGAGAGACAGCAAGGGGAAAGTAATTCCACCCTCGTCAAAATTTGATTCTCAGGATAGAGCTGGATTATTGTACTTGAAGAGCAATATTCTTCTAAAAAACACAACACAAGGTCCTATCACTTGTTCTATTTACAATGTAACTACTAATCAGGAGAAAAAGAGAAGTATTTTCCTCCCAGGTAAGTTCTTACGACTTGGTTCTATCAAAGATAAATTGTATTAAGGAGAGAATTGAGTGAAATATAAACGTGAAGCTGTGTTACAAGTTACAAACTGCTGTAGAACTGCACTATTTGGGTGACTGGAAATAAAAAAAATACTATGCTATGGAGAATATTTTAAAGAACGGTAGTGGAACTGGAGCGAAGTCTCGGAGGCTAAGAGCACTTGTTGCTCTCTCTGAGAGCCTGTTTGGATTTTAGAACCCATACTGGATGGTTCACAATCACCTGTGACTTCAGTTCTAGGTGATCTGGTGCCGTCTTCTGGACCCCACACATTCCTGAGGGCATGTGCCATCCACTCTCCCACATACATAGAAAATACATCTTAAAGAAGGTATTGAAATAATTGGACAATGAATTCTCATTTTGTGTTGCATATTAAGGATTCAAAAGCTGTATGATTTCTACATAAATTTCTAGATTTCTATTTCAAGATTTGGAAATTCTCATTTCTTTGGGGGGTATATTGTTTTATAGTCTGAACTAGACAAGGAGAATAGAGTGAGCCTAGCACTCTGCAGGCTGGTCCTGGCAATCTCTGGCCCTGCTCATGTAATCCACCTCTCAGAGAAGAGACTTCAGAAATCAAGCAATCCACTACACCTAGCCTCAGGTCTCTCTCTCTCTCTCTCTCTCTCTCTCTCTCTCTCTCTCTCTCTCT